GAAAGTTCTGGCGCAGCTTTCTGAGTATCAGAACCTTCATTCTTTTTCCCCTCCCTCTGGCCTTTACTGGAAAGAAGTAATAGTAGAGACTGCAGTGGATAATTTTGCCCAGAGAAGGCCGAGAAGGCCGCAGGTGTACAGGAGCCCCACCCCTGCTGGAACATCGGCGCCAAGCCTCCTTACTGGGGCCCTCCCCGCAGCTGCCGCACTGCTGGGGCAGCTGGCACCCAGGGTGTAGGACAGACCTGCTCGGCTGGTTGTGAACTGTCCAGGGCCACCTGTTCTAGACACACCCAGCATGCTGGTGTGTGTGTGTGTGTGTGTGTGTGCGCGCGCGCACGTGTGCTGCAGCAGGCTCATCTGTCCCCACCTCCCTCAACTCATAACAATCGCCATCATGAACTTACTTTCCCTCCACTGTTTTAAGATGCTTGAGCCATTATCCCTTCCTAGTTAAATTTTTTGTCGGGGGCTGGGGGAGCTTAGAGACAGGGTCTCACTATGCAGTTCAGGCTGGTCTTGAACTCACAATGATCCTCCTGCCTCAGCCTCCCAAGTGCTGGGATTACAGGGGTGCACCATCATGCCCGGCTCCTAGTTAAATTTTTAAAAATCAAACAACACTTCCATTCCTTTGAAATGTACTCAGGAAACCTGAATGGACCCCGGCTAGCTCAACTAGGGGCATCTCTAATGCATGCTCACCTTGGTCTCAGTTTTTTTTCTTTTTCTTTTTTTTCTTTTTTTGTCTGTTGAGACAGGGTCTCACTATGCAGTTCAGGCTGGCCTTGAGCTCACTTTGTAGCCCAGGCTGGTCTCGAACTCGCAATGATCCTCCTGCCTCAGCCTCCTGAGTGCTGAGATTACAGGCGAGCGCCACCACGCCTGGCTCCTTTTATTTCTTTTTTTTTTAGGGATTTGTCAAGTCTTTTCTGGCTCACACTGGTCGAAGCCACCAAACCCCTCACCGGGACTTGCGAAGGTGTTTGAGCAAACCAACTTTTTTTTTTTGGTTTTCCTCCGGTACCAGGAACCGAACTCACGACCTTGCGCTTGCCAGGCAGGCGCTTTTGCCGCTGAGCTAAATCCCCAGCCCCCAAACCAACTTTTTATTGTTACAGGGCCAAGAACAACACCTTCTGGTCATGCTGACGCTGCCATTTTCTGAACGTGTGTCCTGAGAAGCAAGAGCCAGGGTTTGTTCCACAGCCAGGTCACGGATTACTTCACCTTTCCCCCTTCCAATCACTGTGCCCCTCCTCGCGGCCTGCTTCCTCCTCCATTGCACAAATAAGCAACACCGCCGCCTGAGCGGGAGGGCAGATGGGGGTCCAGGAGCCGCGCCTGCGCACAGCGGTGACCTCGGCTTCCACTTCCGCGTCCACCTGTACATCCCGCAGTGCGCGGGCTGGCTAACGTTCCCAGCTGGATCAGCTCGGCCTCGAGAAACCATTCTCAATGAGGAAAGGCTCTGGTGTCGTGTGCGGGGGCTGCTGTGAGCAGAACCGGGAGGCCGAGAGATTAGTCAAGCCCGCCTGGGGACCCGAGGGTGGGTGCACCGCCGCGCGCTCCTGAGGGGGCGGCGGGGACAGGAGCAGGGAGCTGGGCCGAGGCAGCCACTGCCCCTCCTTGCTCCTAGAGCGGCGGCCAGGGAACTCGCCTCAGACGACGCTGGACTTGAGCTCAGCGTCCTCACTTTCCCCAGCAGCCTCCTTTTGTTTCTTGGGTTACTGGAGTTGCACCTGTTGCACCTGGGCGCCTCCTTGGAGGCGGAGCCACGGTCTCCACGTGGCCGACCCTGACCGCGTTTCCGTGTATGGATGCTGCAGGGCCGGCCGGGACTTCTCCTTATCCCTTCACTTGGCTGTGGGCAGTGCATAGGGGTCCAGCGCGGGGCTGGTGGCGGTCTCTGGGGACGGCAGGCAGTGTTTCCCCACCCCCGCTGCTCCCACGTGCCGGCGGGGTGAAGAGCCAGTGCTCCAGGCCGTGGGCTGGGATGGAGCCGTGAGTCAGAGGCTGCGACTTCCTGGGGCTGGAAGGATTACAGTCAGAGCCGAAGCACCGACCCCGGAACATTGGCTGCTACCTCAGCTGTGCTGTGCAGATTGTTCCTTCTGCACAGCCTTCTCTGTGCCTTTGCGGAGGTGACCGCAGGCCTCCCACCTGGCCCGGCTCACGCACTCACCTACTTCCCAGGGTTCTCACAGGCACTCATCCTCAAGCCACTCCCTTCTTTGTGAATGAATAAAACCTGGGTTCGGCCTTGGTTCGAGGCCTCTGTTCCGGATGGCCACCATCATGGCTGCACTTGGGACCCCTTGGCTCCCCATAACTACAGATATGCCTGAGCATCTTTATTCTCGCCATGGGTTGCACTGGAAGTGGTAGATTGGAATTAACTCTCTAGAACTCCGATAACTTTTCATGGGATCACAAATATAACTTCCTGGGCCATGACGAGGACTGGAGAGGGCTCTCAGTAGGTTATACTTCCCGAGTCAAACCTGTGTAACACGAGGGCCACCTGGGAGGGCCTGCTTAAGACTGACTGGCTGTTGGAGCAGAATTCTTTCCATCGGAGAGACTGGAGCTCAGACATCCTTTAATATGCACCCCACGAACGGCCCAAGGGCCCCACTTAGAGCAGTACCACTATGGGGCTTGTGAGCAATCTTCCCCGGCCTCTAGTAGTGTTCAAAGCTCAAGGAGGCCGCTCCCGGTGGGGAGAGGGAGTCTGACTACTGTACCCTCAGCCTCCCCTGTTGGTCTAGTCCTTGCTGTCTCCTTAGTGACTGAGCATCTATGGACAGGGCAGGAGTGGGATGCATTTGGTGATCCAAGGAATCAACCCTTAGGCTAGGGATGTAGCTCAGTGGTATAGCACTTGCCCAGCATGTGCAAGGCCCTGGGTACAATACCCAGCCCCGCAAAAACAAAACAAAAAAAGCCCAAGGAGCTCAACCCACTCATGCTCTGGGGCAGGTGTCCGTGAGCTGGAACTTCCCACCTTGCAGTCAGTTTCCATGGCCATTTTGTGTAGCTGACAGCGGGCACCTCGGTGTACCAAGATCAGGCGCGTTAGCAGCATTCTCATTTAATCTACAGAACCACCTCATGAGGCCGGTATTACTGTCCCTGCCTACTTTGTAGATGAGGACACTGAGACTGAGCACAGTCGCTGGGAAAGAGACAGGACTTGGAACCCAGGCAGGCCGCCTGCAGAGCCCAGGCACAAAGCACGCGTGGTATCGTTAGAAGCGGAGTTCTGCTCTTTAGCCCTAGTGCTGGGCTCTCCTCTCCTGGCCGCATCTAGTCAGCCTTGTCTTCTAAGCCTGTCCCAGGTAAGATGGCAGCTCTGGGAGCCCAGTTCACTCTCTACTGAAGCTAGAGCTGTTTTAGGATGGGATGAAAGTATCAACTTTAAAAGCCGGGCCATTTTATGCCGGGGAGAGGAGGTGCATGCCTGTAATCCGAGCACTTGGGAGGCTGACGCAGGAGGGTCATTGCAAGTTTGAGACCAGCCTGGGCTACAAAGTGAGCTCAAGCCCAGCCTGAAGTGCACAGGGAGACCCTGTCTCAAAAAGACCAAAAAAAAAAAAAAAAAAAAAAAAAAAGCTGGTCCATTTTAAATATCTGGGCAACTGCAAAAGTAGGAAGATACCAAGCTCACCAATGTGAAAGAGAAAGTGATGGCTTTTTAGCAGACCCTTCCATGAAGCCACCTGCAGCACAAACCAAGCAAATCAACAGGTTACCTAGCTGTCTAGACAGCAATGACTAAAACAAACTAGAGATTAACATCAAAGGGGTAGGCCTGCTCAGACCTGGTCAGTCCTGGGGCTGCCTTAGCCTGCTTCGGAGACAGATGCCAGATGGGACTTGGCTGTGACCGACCTTGCCCTTTGCTGAGCACTGCACACTGAGCGCCCTTGCCTGGTTCTCCTCCCAGCCTCCACCAGCTTCCTCCACACATGGTCCATGCAGCACCAAGCCAGGGGAACTGGCTATCGTGTCCTTTTCTTCTAGCTGCTTCTGAGAACCCCAGGGAAGCCTGGCCTAAGCCCCGGCATCCTGGAACCAAGCACCTCTTGAGACATCCTGCCCCGCTCCCTGCTGGCTTCACTGTCCTGCCTACTGGGTGCCCAGCTCCTTGGCAACAGGGCTACCACGGTTCAGCTCCCACACCCACCCTGGCCCGAAGTGCGTGTGATGAGACTACACTCAAGGCCAGGTACACGGGGCCAGCGGTGGAGCGGAAGAGCATGCCGACGTGGAGCTTGCTGTATCACTCGACTTCTTTTTTCACTCCGATCTCCTTCCTCGGCCTTGAATAAATGCGGTCCTTGCTTTCCTAAAGTAATCATTTCTGGAGCTCGATCCCCTCTTGTAGAAGTGTGACCCATTCATCAACTTCAATTAGCCAGAGATGCTACAGATTGAACATCCACGGGATCGATCCCAGCACTCTCCACCATTCTGAATCAGAGCTTAGCTGACTTCACTTCCTTCCCAGTCTAGGAGTAGCAGTGTTTCCTGTCAGCCAGACAGGAAAACCAGAACCGAGCTGTGTTCTAGCATAAAGTGTGTTTCAAGGTCAGCCTCGTCCCGGCTGGCGTTGGGCCCACAGGCAGAGCTCACGTGCCGCTGCGTGGCCTTGACTTCTAGCCCCTGGCAGCTCCGCATCACCCTCTCCGACTGGAACCCTCCAGACTGCACGCTCCGTACCGCCGCCCCGACACTGACTCGCCGGCACTCACTGAGTCGTTTGTTTCACAGGGACTGGGTCTAGAAATGTAACCGTACCCTGCCGGAACCCCAAGTCTCTTTCCCATGAACAAACTTCCACCACCCACTTACCCACTTCTCTCGGGCTGAGCGGGGCCCTCCAAACGGGCGGCGCGGGCCCACGGCTCCTCAGGGGGGCACACAGGCCGAAGCCTCCAGGACGCTCTTCTGCAGCCTCCTGGCCTTTGCAGGGGCAAGAAGACACCACCACCACAAAGGATAAAATAAGTTTTTATTTATAGTCTTATAGTAAAGGGGGAAGCCTTAACTTGCAAGACAATTCTTCAGCAGTATGTACAACATACTTTTTATTTCCACGGAATGGAATCAAACACAGACAAAGACTACGGAGTATACACTAGAAATCAGCAAATGCCAGGAACAGAGTAGGAAAACGACAAAGAAATGAGGCCTACACATACAAACCCTTCACTGGGGTCTGCTGAGTGCAGCCAGAACCAGGGCCGGATCACACAGTGGAGGGAGGGGCCGGGCAGGAGGAAAGGAAGCGGGCCGGGGGAGGGGCCCCACTGGGGTGCGGGTTTAGTACCAGGTAAACTGCTCTTGGTATTTACATTACAAAATCAGTTGGCTCTATTTCTTAGAAATGTACATGAAAAGAAAGGAAGATTTGATCATTACTTTATGAATCTGTCGCTTTGCCATTCCGACATCATCAGAAACAGGGGTAATTCACTCAGATTCAAATTTCAGTAGCAGGAAATAAATATCAAAACATCATCGCCGGCCCTCAATACAAAACCCCCACCCCACCCGCCGCTGCCCAGCGCCCCGGTGCGGGCGGCACGTGCCCTCGGCCAGGCTGGCTCCCGAGGGAGCAGGAGTGACACACGCCACGCGCTCCGCGAACCCGTCCCCACTCTCCTTTACACCGCACACTTCTCCAAGGACCTGGTCTCTCAACAGGAGCGATACACAGCGTTTTAGAAAAAAATCCTTACAAAGGCGGAGGGTAATTCTGATTACTCCAAACTGTTCGCCTTCTTGAAGTAAAGCAGTTCACAGATTCGCAGGGTCTGTCACGGAGGGCGTGGCCGGGAGGACAGGCCACAGCGCAGGGTCCTCCAGGCGCCAGCCCGGCGGGCCGGAGGAGCTGCTGGCCGGGCAGGACACCGTGGGCTCGGCGGTGCGGCCGGCCGTCTGTCCTCCACAGAAAGAGCTGCCATGTCAGGGTGTTTTGGTTTAAAAAACTCCTGGTGGGGACAGGGAATCCCTGAAGGGAACACAGTTAAAAAAACAGTGAAAATGGGGAAGGAGAACAAGAGCTGTTGTCCAAGAGCGCCTACATAAAAATAAAAATTAAAAAAAACAGAGAAAAAATAAAGAGTCTCTTAGAAGGTTCCGAGGGGACTAACGACGAGGCGAGAGGAGACGACAGGGAGACAGTTCTTATTGCTGGCCTGCCCCGCGCAGCTTAGCTGGCCTCCATCCGGAGCTTCTTCCTGCTCTGGGGCTCTTCGGGCTCCGACTCCGAGCTGGAGTCCGAGCCCCCGTCGAAGGCAGAGATGGCGCTGCCCTTGGAGTTGGTGTAGAGGCTGCTGTCCGAGGAGGGGTAGTTGGTCTGCAGTTGGGCACTCGACCTCGCTTTCTCCAGTGCTCGGACTACAAGACAACCAAGGAGCGCGTTACTACCGTCTGGAAGCCGTCGGGCTCCAGGCCGGGCCCCGAGGCTCAGGAGAACTCCCTTCTGGCGGCTGCACACTCCCTTGCCCTCCCTCCGCTCCCAGCTGGACCTGGGGGCCAGCAGACACGGCCGTCACTCTGCCATGACACCCAGCCCCGAAGAGAAGGCTGTGATGCCAACACCCTGCCACGGAAGCCCAGGTGTAGTCCGGAGCACGAGCTCCTGTGCCAATCAGCAGTGCAGCGACACAGGAGAAACGGCCGGGCAGTGCCAGGCCCCACAGGGTCTGACGGCCGTACCACCGCAGAAAATGACGTTAGAATTGGGCTGGCCAAAGAAAGATTCTGGCTTAGCATTCGCGTTCGATCCACTTGGAATGGCAAGCTGGACACTGGGAAGCAAGTCACCAACACACACAAAATGCCTGGGCCTTGGGACAGCAGCCCCTACATGCAGGCTGCTGGGCACTCACCAACCCCGACACCACCCGCTGCCCAGCCCTGGGTTCAGCTCGGCTCGAGCCTGAGAAGTCAACCCGTTGGTTTTATGGTTTTATGCGAGGTGTTCTAACCCAGGAGGTTACTTGCATTTCTTTTTACTTGCATCTTCCATGAGGGAGGAAGAGAAGTGAATTCCCCAGGAACAAAGAACTTGATCAGCTCTCGCTTTCCCCTGTGGTTGTAGGAAAAGGCGGGTGTGAGCACAGGAGAACAGCAGGGCCTGGCCCATGGCTGCCCCGAGGGCGACCGTCGTCAGGGGGAGGGCTCACTGCCCCCGAGCACCTGCAGTCTGGTACTTACACAGCCAGTTCCACTCCCGGGACCTCAAAGCTCTTTCTAGATGCCTGAGGCCAGGTGTGACCCGTACTGCAGGCAGAGCACCCGAGCCCCAGGAAGGGGAGAGAGCAGGCCAAAAAGACGTTCGCCTCCGTGCGAGTGCCTAGCCTATGTCCTCACGGCGGCTCGGGCGCCTCCCTGGCTCGGCTCTAAGGCCCCCTGTGCAGGCCCGGGTGCGGCCGGGCTGCCGCTCACGCTCGCTCCAGGAGTGGCTGACTGCAGGGCCAGTCGCCCCACAAGCTCAGCTGCTCACCTTGCTGCTCCAGAAGAGCATTCTGCCGCTTGAGGTCATCGATATCTTGCTGGTGTGTGTGGTTTTTCCTTCGCATGTACTGGATATATTCTGTGGCTTTGTCTAGAATTTGGGCCCGGGATGCCTGTTGCAATATGAGAAAAAGCACAGGGGACTAATAAAGACCAAGTCCAGGCAGTGAGGGAACCAGGCCTTTCTGCGGCAAACAGCCTGGGGGCTGGAAAGAGGCGGCCGAGGCGGGAAGGGGCCGAGGGAAAGTCACGGCCGGTGGCAGCCTTTGTGCCAGCGAGTCACGTGCTGCACAGAGCTTACCTCGCACGGTCTCGGCGCCGCCGGGAGCCGTGGCTCAGAGTGCACTGGCTCATTCGAAACCACCGGCTACGGGGGCAGCCTGGGCTCAGACTCGGGTCTGCCTGACTCCCGAACTCGTCCTCCTCCCGTCCCCTCTGGTTCTTTAGGTTGCTTTGAAGTCTTTGCTTGGCTATGCGTGAAAACATCAAAATGCTAAAGCTCGGGCCGCTCACTCTCTGCTAGGGCCTGGCTACAGGCTGCTGGTCCCGAACGACAAGGACAAGAGGCTGGCTGGGCTGGATCTCCCACCCCCGGCTGCCGACCGCGGCTGTTCAGTGTTCCCAGCGGGACCACGCGGCTACGTCACTGTTCTGCCTTCCCGGCTCGAGAGGCTTTCCTGAAAGCTGCCGCTGCTCGATGCCAACACAGGCAGGGCAGGAGGCTGTGCCAGCTCGGGAGGCAGCCGCACTTCCATAATGGCCACAGACGCCTTGGGCACTGCCCTATCAATAGAACGGATGTCACGTTATCGCAGGCCTGGCTTTGTCTGGGAGAGCCCCCAGGCTACACGCACACCAGGGATACCGCGGCCAGGTGGCCGGCCAGCCCAACTGGCAGAGTAGTGCAAGGCCACGGAAGGCCGCAGGCTGAGGCGTGCCGTTCATGCCATGGGGCTCCTGAGCAGCGCGCGAGCTGCTTACTCAGAGCAGGGCAGTTCTGCACAGCTCTGTATTACAGCTCGGGGCTTTTTCCCAGAGCACAGCGCGGGGGGAGTAGAGACAGGCAGAGGTAACAGCCGCACTCAGGCTAGAAAAACTAGCCTTTAAAAAATCCTAGAAATTTCAACTCATACACCTCCAGGCAAGCTGGGAACAAGAGAGTTTATTCACCAGTCCTTGAGTTTATTTACCAGTCCTTGAAAGTCCTAGAATTTCCAGGCTTTCCTCTCTCGGTACTTTTTAAGGCAGTCTCCTTAAAAGAAAATCATTCACATTCAATCATTTATCAGGTGGGAATCACGCGCAAGGTACTGGGGAGACATGGTGAGGAGACGTATTCGTCATGGCTTCTCTGCCCAGAGTTTACTTCAGTATTATCTATAGGGACAAATCCCAGGCAGCACCGACAAGCATAACCTGACAGCACAGATGACAGAAGGCACGAGAAAGGTGGCTCCGGGCCAGGCGCCTCCACGCCGCATCTCGCAGGACACACACTCCTCCGGAGACCAGGAACCCTGCGTCAGGCGGAGACGGACCTTGTGCGAAAAGGTCGCGCTAAGCAGGGAAGCGGCGTGGCCAAGGGCGCGGGCCGGCACGCCCTCAGGTGGGCAGGCAGGAATGGGAGGAAGGCAAAGCGCACTTTAGGTGCTGTTTCCACTTCTGCGCAGGGCCTTTCTAGGGCCTAGTTATTAGGAGACACAATGAGAGGAAGGGGCCGTAATTAAGAGGGGCAAATGAGAATACTGTCCTGTCTGAGTACTGCAGGCGGAATGAAAGCGGGCCGGCAGCAGGGCCGGTGCGGTCTGCAGACCGGGAGAGCTCCACAAGGGGGTTGCAGTCACCGCGGGGCTCCGGGCCGGCGGACGCACTCCTCTCCGCGCTGCTCCTTACGGATGAGATTCTCGAAGACCCCACCTAGCTCTCCACACGTTACCCTCTCCACCACTATGACTGCTGGGCAGTCACACCCTGATTCCTCTTGCAATTTGCTCATTTCAAAGCTGTTTCTCAAGTAAGAGTGCCCCGAAGGCAACACTAATAGAGACAGAGAAAGAAAAGGAAAGAAAACAAAGAAGAGACTAAAGCTGTAGCTTAGGCACAGCCTTTGCCCGGCATGTACACGGCCCTAGGTTTGATCCCTAGTACTGCAAAAACGAACTTACAGGTGCTCAAAACAGAACGCCTTGGGAACCAGCGGCCAGCGCGAGGCCCACACATGCTAAGCACAGCTCTTCCTCCACCCCCAAAGCAAGCAGTGCCCTGGGTTGCTCGGGGCACCCCATCCCCCAGCACGTTCAGAAGAACGGTTCAGGGTTACCTTTATTCTTCCTAAAATATGCAACAAGAATTAAAACACAACAAGAAAAAAAAAACACAAAATACAGAATGTTCCAAAAATCCGCATGTAGTCCAGGAGAAAAAAGCACAAGGTTGACGCTAGAAAATGCTACATTAATCTAAAATCCCTTCCTGTCTTTCCAGACCACACAGGACCGTGTGAGCAGTCACCGAGTAAGGTGCGGGCAGGCCCTTCCTTGGCTTTATGAGTCCGTAACACACACAGCCAGGGCGAAGCCAGCGAGAACCCCTGGGGTGCACGGTGTGAACTCGGAGCAGCCCACGCTTTCCAGTGTTTTTCCTCTACCCGATAAGTCAACTGACAATGTTCACACCGGCGCGCTGACCAGACAGGGCGCTCGGTGGGGACCCGCGCGAGCCCAGCCTGCCTGCTTTCACAGTTAGAAGCACCGCTCCTGAGTCTGTCTGAGCAGACGCGGCTCTGTGGAACAGCATGGAAGCAGCCCTGGGACGGAACGGACAGGGCTGAACAGACGCGGCAGGAGCGCTGGGGTTCTCACAGTGCCGGGGGTCAAGCTGCTCTTTCGCATCTGGGAGCCACACAGGAGGATGCTGGGCAGCCTTGCCAGATCTTGTTCCAGATCTACGCTTGCACACAGCAACAGAAATTATGAAGCCAGGTATGGTTATGCAGAGCTGTAATTCCAGCACTTGGGAGGCTGAGGCAGGAGAATTGTTGGGAGTTTGAGACCAGCCTGGGCTACAAAGTGAGCTCAAGGCCAGCCTGAACTGCACAGCACGACAGTCTCAAAAAGACCAAAAAAAAGGAAACACAAGTTCAAGTTCTGCCTCAACAACTCAGTGAGACCCTGTCTCAAAATTTTTTACAAAACATAAAGGGCCGGGGGGTGTAGCTCAGTGGTTGCCTGGAATGCATGACACCGTGGGTTTAAGCCCCAGTATCCAAAGGGAAAAATAAACGATAAAATAATGGCAGCAACTAAGACTTAGCTGAGTACTTACTACATGCCAGACAGCCCCACACAACCTTCCAAGTATTTTTTTCTCTATTTTATAAAAGAGAAAACCAAAGCACAGCTGGGCGTGGTGGCACATGCCTGTAATCCCAGTACTTGGGAGGCTGAGGCAGGAGGATCATTGCGAGACCAGCCTGGGCTACAAAGTGAGCTCAAGGCCAGCCTGAATTGCATACTGAGACCCTGTCTCAAAAAGACAAAAAAAAAAAAGAAAACCAAAGCACAGAGCTGTAACTAACCCTATGTTGTGTAACTAGTAGAAAGCAGAGCTAGAATTTGAATCCAGCCCTCCAGAACACCCATATTTTGGGAACGCAAGGAGGCTACAGAACCAATAAAAAAAGGTCATTAGAGTGCCAGAGGTAGTGGCGCACACCTGTAACTCCAGCACTCGGAAGGCTGAGGCAGGAGGATCGAGTTCAAGACTGGCCTGGGCTATACAGCAAGACCTTGTCTCAACAAATGAAAAAAAGGTCAACAGAATTGCAGGGACAGCATTGACATGGGGGGGCGCAGCTTTGAGGAGCAAAAGGAGGAGAGAGAGACACATTTGCTTAGCAGTGTGTCAGTGCAAACTAGCGCAGGCCTTTCCTTGGAGGCGTGAGAGCAGAGCCCATGGTAAACTTGCTCCCCGGGTACAGGCTGCGCCCACAGTGAAGCACTGCCCAAGACCGGTCTTTAGACTCTGGCTGAAAACAGGAGCTTGTAATGACAGCAGCACTGAAGGAAGGTTGTTTTTCTTTCTTTTTCCTTTTAAAGACCAGTGAGAAGCAAACAGGCTCCTGGCAGAGAAAACAGGTACAGGGAAAAGCCTGACGACTGGAGGCAGCCGGAGCGGGGTGGGAGAAGGGCACACCAGCCCCTCGCAGTGCTGCCAGCCTGGTGCCTCTTAGCAGCAGGTGGGCAGAAACAAAGCCTCAGGGTGTGGCAGTGGGGGCCGGCAGTCCCTGCCCTTCCTGCTGTAGCAGCTGCCTGGAGTGTCCGCGCACCCCCGAGGCCCCACTTTCTTCGCACACAGCTTCAAACTGTCCAGCGTCACAGCAAGAATCAAATACCTATCTTACAAAAGGCCCCAAATTAGAAACTTTCTGTTTTTTTTTTTTTTTTTGGTACCAGGAATTGAACTCAGGACCTTGTGCTTGCCAGGCAGGCGCTTGTGCCACTGAGCTGTATCCCCAGCCCACTAGAAACTTTCTTTTTGGAGACAGGACCATGCTGTGTAGTTCAGGCTGGCCTGGAGCTCCAGCCAGTCCTCCCGCCTCAGCCTCCCGAGCGCTGGGGTTACCACCGTGCCACCACGGTGTGTGCCTCGCACCCAGCAGCATTAGAAGCTTCTAAAACGCCGAATCACTTCTGAATTCATTAACACTAATGCTTAGGGTCAAGCCCAAGGTTATTAAGTGGTTCTCAAAAGTTTTCATTTACAAGGCAAGAGTTCTACACACTTCTAGAGTTGTTCTGGGAGCCAGGATCTGGGTAGAATGCCCGGCTTTAGGTGAAGCAGAGAAGAGTAGCACTCCCGGCCAACATGAGACCACCATCCTCCCGAGGTGCCAATGCTGAGCTGGGGAAAAGCGACCTCAGCCACACTGGCCACTCTGTCCCTTCACTGCAAAAGTGAGTCCTCTCAGACTGATGTCTCAGCTGCCTCGCTCCCAAGAACCAAAATGCCACGTCTGGAGCAACGGAAAAAGGACTGCCTGACTCACCAACTCACGTGTTTTGCTTTATACGAGTTATTTTTAAGAAAATAAACCATTTTTTATTTTGTGAAA